TAAGAAAATACTGATGGAATGGTTTCATTTTTCAAAAGAAAATTTTAATTTTATTTGTTTGATAGATATTTTGTATGGATATAGAGAAGGAGGTAAATGGAAATGTATTATTGTATAGCAGCTGTCCACGCGGACGCATCGCTCACTCAAGTAGGAGAGAGACAGATGTCGAACGCTGCCGAACGAGGAGGCCGATTCTGCCTCTTTGTCGCTCGTTCCGCCTTTTCGCTTGCACTTCAAGCCTTAAATGGAACGCCTCAGAGCGAGGTAACGCCGCATGAGTCATGTTTTTTCGTGCGTGCAGCGGCTCCATCGAATTATAAGACGTTGTCACGTCAAAAAAATACAGAAAAGAGTTGTTCGCATATAGATTCCAGGAAAATTAATAAGGCGTCTATGGCCTGAACATAACGTGGTAAATCTTTCAACAAAACAATATTATGCGTAAAATGTAAATTGCAGTTTGAATGCACGAAAGAACATGTTTTTTCTTTGAACTACAATGTTAAGTTGACTCGCGGGTTACAATTCCATACGTCCGAATGAAAACAGATCACCGGCCTATTTCTAATTTTAATTTTGTTATGAATTTTATCTATAATTGAATAGTTATTAAATATGAAAATATAATTAAAATATGAGGTCATTCAAAAATTAAATCAAAGTAAGTAAAAATACCACCGACATGATTGCCGATGTGTTAATAATTGGCGTCAGTAACTACTGCACTGGTTGAATTTCAAAATTAGATTGTATGAGGATATGCGGTATTATCCCTCATAACTACAATTTAAATTTGAAATTTAACCAGTACAGTAATTATTGATGTAACTCCTAACTCCTGTTTCTGCCTCTAATATGTCTCTGCCTGAGAAGGTGTCCTACCAACCTATCTCGCCTATTTTTTATTGACTTCCATAGAGTCCTCAAGTCCTCACCTTTTTCAGTTGGTAGGACACCTCCTCAGGCATGAAGGTCTAGTCAGAGATATATTAGAGACAGAAACGGGAGTTAAAGGAGTAGAGGTAGACCTAGATTAGATTACTGTTCGCAAATAGTTAAGGATGATGATGATGATGATGAGGAAATAGCTCTTTGTACTATTGTCAACCCTTAGTGCTTCGAACCAGTGGCGAACTGGCCGCCCCTTTACAGTACTACTGGACATTACCTATCATAATTTTGTGATAACTGAAATGGGACTCGCTTCAGTTTATTTATTCTTTTATAAAAGATCTGTGCACTCCCAGAGGAGGTGAAGTTCCGAACAAAGTTGTCGGATCATGGGGTTCTTTCTTAATATGCAATTAAAACTTCAGTCTATTTATTAAGGTTTAATCACACGTATGTGGGTAAACGCTAATTTCACATTATATTTTTTTCTAAAAGCAAATAGCCCATAATAGTGTTACATTAAAACAAGATAAGACAGACGTATGTATTTTAAATGTAAACATCACTCTTGTTAAAAATTGTTTATTATTTGTTTGGTATTGATAAAAGTTGAGATAAGTGAAGAACAGCGATAATAAATAGTGAAATGATTCCAGAAATAAACACTTGGCAAAACTTTTTCATTAAAATGGACATTTCGTTTGCAGGAAAACAAGCGTTAGTGACTGGAGCTACTTCAGGTAAATTTTGTTGTTACAACGAAGTAAATTAAAATTCTGTTTTGTTGAATCTTTTTAGGAATTGGAAAAGAAATTACTCACAGATTAGTTCAATGTAATGCAAAAGTTATTGCAGTCGGTAAAAATCCGGAATTGTTGAGTGAGTATTTCAAAACGACTAAAACCATTTTAACATTTTATACGATCCATAATACGTACAACAGTGCGTTCAACCCAACAAATAGCTTGAACATTGTACGGGTTAGAAGAAAGTTTGATATAAAAATGGTAGGTACAGACTGATCAACACAGTTTGGATGACATTTTTTCTTCTTCGTCTTGTTTTTTTGTCAAGAATTTTTCTTGAAATTTAAATGAAACCGCCCTTGAGATATAACCTATATAATAATAAAA